TCTGCACCTTCACCTTGTATGTCATCTCCTGACTTCCCAGCCCAGTACAGACCCTTCAGTCTTTTGGTGCAGATCTTTCAGCTTTCTATCACAGACCCTTCGGCCTCCTGACAGGACTTGCATGGGGACGCTACAGTGAGTTCCAGGCCTTCAACTGGGTCCTTTGGATCTGCAGTGCACAGACAGCCTTTTTGCACTTCTGCATAGCTGACTCTGTGGGCAGCTACTGTAAGCCAATCTTGTAAGTTCTTACATATTTTATATGTTGCATTAAATCTGTTTCTCTGGTAAGCGCTGACTGATACACCCTGGCATTTAGACTCTATATTTTAATTAAAATTGGACCACATAGAATTTCAAGGGAACATTTGTATACTAGCTCCATGGAACAGAAAAATTAGCTAAGTTAGCTAAAGATACAACAGGGCAAAGTTATCAAAGAAATGAAAAATGAATACATATACATGTGCTACTTAGACTTCTGTTCACGTTTGCATTGACATTTTAATTATTTTACTCTTTAAAGTAGCCTTCATGGGCTCTAATAGAATCCTCCAACTAATAACCTCTCTGATGTTTGTACTTCTACAAGGTTAGGTTTCATACTTCCATTTTGCCAAGGAGATTTGGTGCCGTGGATAAACTGCTTGGAAACTGACTCATTATTAAGGCAGTGGACATTACTTATACAAAGAAGTAAATGTCCTACCTATTCTCACTGCAGACAGGACCTATATTCAGTGTGTGCTTGGACACAGCCCATATTTCTTTCTATGTAGGAGTTACTATTTTCAGGCCATTTGTAGAGAAAAACCTACATCCCTTACATAGATGTGTTCATCTGTTATACATTGCCATAAAATTCAACCACAGCTTTCTCATCTTCTGATTCATCCCTTTGTTCTATCCTTAGCAAAAGCTTTTGTGAAGGCAATGGGTTTTTTATGCTTATAGTTAAACGAATCTCATGTCTGACTCATGACATTTTGCTGGAATAACCACTTCCAACTCTCAGAGGTCTGACTAGAGAAGCAGCAGGACAAAATCTCATAGTTGAATTAATGATCTCTTAGTTACATAGTCCTAGAAGTCCTTACTAGTGATGCCTTTGTTTGCTTGCTTATTAATTAAAAATAGTATGGAGGAAATATTAGCTACTAAGCAATGGAAATTAAGCACTTAGCTATACACAAAGAAAATATTGAATAAGCACTTGCTCATGCACTGAAGGTGATCAAGAAAAAGTTGGAAACATTTCTATCAGGGAAGGTGCTGGTTGCCTCTTTTCAAGTAATACTTCTTTCTTAGTAGAATTATTAGTAATGTACTTGGCCAACAGATCACCTTTCTCTCCTTGCCACTTGTGTAGGCCTTGAGGCTAGGTTCTTAGATATAGGTAGAAAAGTTTTGAGGAAATTTGAGAAAGACTACTAGAGACATGGGAGCTTCTATCTCAGTCTTCATATTTCTTTGACTCATACTCTGGAATATAGGTAAGACGGATGGCTATTCAACAACCACCCTGGAAAATTAGGAGATCTTGAAGGAGACCATATATTGAGGATGTGGAAGCAGAAAGAAGAAACTCAGGGATCCTATTGACACACTTGTTCTTTATTCCTTTTCTGGACTTGTTAATGAGAAAGAAACAAACATCTATGTTTTAAAGCCCCTGTTGTTGTAGTTATCTGAACACTGAAAATGAACCTCAGCCTAAACTATACAGAAGAGCAAGTTTTAAAAAGTTAAAATGGTTGCATTATTAGGAGGGCTCTTTAGTTTTGCAGTTTCATGAAAGGGTGAGAAAGAAAGGCCCAATTTCTCTTCATGAGAAAGAGGTTATAACATTCTTTGGGAAAAGTCAGAACGGCTGTGAGGAAAGGCTATCTGGGAGAAGCAGTGAAACATAAAGACCGTTTTGTTTTTTAAAGATGAGGGATTTTGTGGAGGTGAAAGAGAAAAATCAGATATCAACTCCAGAGAGCAACTGTGTCAAAAGCACAGAGATATTCTAGGAGGTTTAAAGAAATTTCTCAACATAGTATGATATAATATTAAAAGTAAACACTATTTCTGCCTTCTTCTTTTAGGAAATTATCAAAATTTTCATAATGTATAATTTGATCTATTTGTGTCTGTGTGTGTGAAAGTTCTTGAGTTCTGTTGACAGAAGAACTTTGAAGCAGAACTCAAAAAGCAACAAAGAAAAGACTTGTTCACTTGCAGTCATTAGACTATTATTAACAAAAGTCTAGCTAATAAATCTGACAAGTCATTGTTTAAAATTCTATAAAAGTGGAGGATATTTTAAAGTTGAAACTGTCTTTAGAATTAAACTATTTTCAAAATGTACCTGAGCCATATTTGTAGACATTATAGATACTTGTGAAAAACTGGACTCTTATGGCTTTGATCTAAGATGTTCT